CCCCCAAAACCCCAAAACCCCAAAACCCCTTACTAGACGCTTTAAATTGAAAACACCGAATTATTAACTCTCACTTCTCTATTGTTAGAAAAATGTTGATCTTTTCCTCTGCATAAGTCTTCAATTTTTACTAACTAAGCTATTTTTCCTTGATTTCAAGCCTATAATTTTTAGTGTTAAAACGTTACTTTTATTCCTGGAAGTAGTGGAAATATCCCTTGAAGCTCTAATCCTTGAGTAGGCTTCCTTCTTTGGAAGCCCCTTTGGCCTGATACTTCCTGGAACTTTGCAGCTGATCGATATATCAGTATCTACTGTCTGAAAGCCATGAAGTTTTGAGTGGGATCTTTTCCTGTTCATCTTTGTATGAAGAGATTTGGTAATAGATTTGATTGCCTTGCTTTCCTCTTCCATTTTTCTACAGATATAGCACAATGGAGTTACTTTATCACCGTCTGTTCCTTCATGCTTGAATAGAGGTTTATGCAAGTTGAATTGATGGAGTTCTTCCTTCCGTATGGCTTAGTGTTATAATTAATTTTAACACTACTTCTCTTCCTTTGAAGGTTCCTCTTCTGAGGCTTCTCTGTCTTTTTCAACTGATCCTTAAATTTACTGTAGTTCATAAGAGGCAAGTTGGTATCTAAATATGAAGCATTATGGCTACCTTCTTTTAGTAGGATCGGCGTTCGAGGGCTCAAATGGTTCCTCAAAATAGCTTGAGGCTGATGCTTATTAATCTCCTTCTTCAGATTCTTATTACAAGGAGATCTTCGGATTCTCTCAATATGCTACAGTATTAAGATTCAAGGGTTTACCTTCTTGATAGAAACTATCTGAGGCTTAGGACTTCGGTTTTTCTACAGAAATGAGGTCAGTCCATACCTTCTGCAGCTTAGGATTTCCCTTCTGCATTGGACTTTTTTTTGCCAATTTTGAACGAATAGATGTATTAATATTTTCTTGTGTAAAGTTCAATTCTCCAAGAACTTTAGTGGCAGAAGGTTTCTTAATGTATTGCGACCTATTACTGAAAAATAAAGCTTACATATAACTACAAGTCTGCTTTGACTTCATATTTTTGTGAATACCTGAAGAAGAAAATGTATCCATAGGTTCTAACTGATCGTTATCCTGAGTTTGGAAATTTTCTTGCAGAGGTTGAAGAATGTTCCTCTCTAGGCAATTTTCGGCTCATCCTATAGATCAGGCTTGAGATTTTACTTATTGAGTGGATTGTAATCTCTGATTCTCGGATAGTAGGTCTTTTAAACTCAGCAGTGCTATTCTGAAACTTGCTGTTTATAAAATCATCGTTAGGTGTGATATCAGTTATTCTTTCAGATTCGGATCCCTGCTTATTCTCAACTGTTGGCTTAAAATCATCAATGGAGTTTTCATTAGAATCTTCACAAAGATCAAGGTTAATTGTTCGCAAATTAGTTGTTTTAGAAAGATCTAGATCTTCCTTCTTTCAAATAACAAGGTCATCATCCTCGAGTCTCACATTATATATCTCCTGTTTTGAGCCAGAATCTGTGGTATTAGGGCAGATTTCTGATTCATTTTGGCTTTCTTCAGATAAAACTAGCATATAATCTTGAGACTTACTCTTAACATGTGCAATTTGTGAATCATGAAGGACTAATGTGTCATCTCTGTTCTGGTTATTTTTCTACATTCAATTCCTTCTTCCTAACAGTAAAAGAGGCTTTTTGGGATTCTAAGATTTTGACAATGCTATGCTTACTTCTATCTTGGTGTGAAGACCCGAAAGAGGAGTTCCCTTCCATCTTGACACTCCCACTCTCAAGTGTGCGAACAAAAGAAGATTGGTTGTGCTTGTTTGGCATTAGATATCTTGACAAAGTTTGATTTAGTGGCTCGAAATCATCTTCTTCTACCTTCGGCATGAATTTCTCATGAATTATTTTCAATAAATTCGGAGATTTCTAAATAGATTTTAAAAAATATTTTACTGTGAGAATGCAACATTTCAGCTGCTCAGCGTATAAATTCCTCTCATTTTTAAAATTTGGCTCAGGATTATTAGCACATCTATAAAAATGAAAAGAAGGCTTACAGGTTGTCAATACAACACTCTATTTTAGAAATCAGGCCTTGTTTGCATGTGATCTTACTATCAGTCCCAGAGCCTGGCAGGTCAGTGAAGGCTTTCCTGTATTCTTTCTGTACAATGAACATATCAGCTAGGAATTTGGTGTCTCTTGGATCGTCCATATCAAAATGGTCGTACATCTTATATTTACAAAATTAATTTTATAGCTGTTGAATTCAATTAACGTAAAAATAATTGGGGTTTTGGGGTTTTGGGGTTTTGGGG